GTCTGGACCACACAATACAGTGATTGTGAGCATCGATCTACGCAGTTTGGATACGATGACATGTGTCATCCAAGTCAGCGAGCCTGACCCCCCGATCCCGTTAGTCGCCTCTCACGACAAGCATGGGTTACTGATCGAAGATCAATTCTAACCCGGATCTTCACGGGTAGTTGAAAGATAATTGATGTTGCTCTGCCTGGCGCTAGATCAGCTCGGGGTATACAGTGTCTGAGCGGGGTGTCCTAATAAACCTGTAGCACACACGCACACACGCACTCTTTTAAGTGTGTTTGTTGTTTAATACAGTAACCCCTTGATGCCGAGTTTTTTTCAGGCGCACATTTTCATACGCTTTGAAAAGTGAACGTTGTGCGAGAATTGCGCTCGCGTGGTCCTGGATCTACGTACGGCTATAAAATTACACAGAAATGTAGAATATTAAATTTCCTATCCGTTGGTATAAATATAAGTGCAACTACCTTGGCGGTTTGAGAAATAGACCTTGCTAAATGTTGTCCAAATTTTTGTTATGCGTTAAAAAACAGTAAATTTCTCCGCTTTTTATCGCGCACCGATAAAAGCACTGTGCTACGAATTTTTTAATGTGGCATCTTTACGGAATGTGTGAGCGAAGAAAATACAGCCTGATATCTGAACGACATAAGTGTATATGAATTGGGTTTATGTGCTTGTGCATAACGTTATACGCTCAACATTAAAAATGACTCGTAATAAATGTCAAAAATGGATTTTCTTCTATGACGTCAAACGACGACAGAGAGGTCATACACGTATAATGATAAGGGGGCATAACTCCGTTATGCGTAACACTAGGTCAATGTAACTCAGATCACTTGGAGAGAATTTGTTGTGGATACGGACGCTATATTTTCGTTATTTTATGTTCATGGTGAACCAAACTATTCCAATTCAAAGTTCCCCAATGTGAACGGATGCGCTTTGGTAGTTTCACAATTTATAAGAAAAGATGTCAACGTATTACATGTGAAAGCACGTAATAGCGATTTGAATGGCCCTATCCGATATATAAGTTAGTTCTTAGATTCCCATATTCTCCTGTTTGTGTAGATGTAATTTGACTTATTTTGCATCGTTATTACCAGAGTACTAGCCATATCTTCAAATGTAACGAAATTGCTGAAAATGATACAACATTTTAGTTGACGTCATTGCTTGTTTTATGCATTTTGCGACGTCGGAAAAAGACGACATTGGTATGCTGATTAGTATATATCTCACTTAATTTCCATTAATTGTATAAAAGGTCTAGACTTCTATGTCAGAATTTAACACTCTTTAGACAAAACATAAAATGACTGATTTTTCCATTTAAATAGTGTCCTGAATATATCAACAATTAGACGGTTTGACAGCGTATCTCTTTTTGTGAACAACACGCGCACCTGTTTGGCATCAATTTAACGTAAATAAAAATAATATTTCACAACACCCGAATATTTTGTTTGGGATAAGAATTTTGTTTGTTTATGATTATGTCGCTATTTCTCTTCATACGTATGCAATGAAAGATGCAAAAAGATAGCTTTTTTATATATGGAACTATATATTAGAATATGGATGTAAGATTTGTCCGAATTAACACATGAGATGGTATATATATTTTTCAACAATTTTCCTATAAATGTAGTTAGAGTTTGATATCCTGTCATCACAATATTATTTAATCGAATATGAATTGAATATATTATCGAAAACAATGATAGAGAATCATAAAACGTTTCCAACAAACGCGCACCTTGCCGATCAATATGCATCATTCTTTTGTCTATAAAACGACACAAAATTATGCAATGAACAAGACAATTCCTTTAAATATGTGTGCATATACATTTCATACCATATATAAATCATTGTCATTAATATTATCAGTTTTACATATAAGGTTGAATTAAATCAACTTTCATTAACCTGTTCATATGAAATTGCAATATTAGTAAAAAAAAATTGAATATTGTACATCATAGGAACTAAAGTAGTTGCAGTTATTGCTACGTTTGATCTTCTAACACTTGTGTAAAGGTTTCGAATATGGTGTATTGCACTAAATATGTCAATTTCTTATGTAAATATGATTCAAACAATCAAAAACTTTCAAAGAATAAAACACCGTAAACCCTATATGCACGTATGATATGATATTGAACAAGGCTAAATGTAGATACTGAAGTCAGTTTCATGAAAAAGTATCTGAACTAATACGCAAAATATACACCATAATACTGACAGTGTAATCGGAAGGATATGGCGATTGTGTTTACTCTTGTTCAACCGACCTTCACCTCAAAGAAATTGCCTAATATGTAGAACAATGTTGACGTATGACATCACTACCGCTGACCGATTTCTTACAAAATGGCGGCTTTGCTGACAAGGGTACACAGGATTTTGCGAGGACCCTTCCATTGATTCAGGGATCGTTTGTACATAAATATGACATGTAAGTAATCAGAATGATTCTGACTATCTGTGTATTGTTATATGTTTTTTATCGTTTTCACTATAAGTAAGAGAAAAGGCCAGAAATGCAGATAATTACCGTTGTCGTTTTCCGTGATTTGGCGTCAGTCATGGCGTCACGCTGCACGGAAACTTTGACAATTTCTTATGAATTATCAAATCATTGCATTGTATCTATTTATAATTTCCTATTTCTTGCTACGATACTCTTTCCATGCATATTCCAAAGGTATTGAGCAATTGCAAGCAATGAATAGACGGATGAATGTTGAAAAATTTCAGAAAATGCTACGCAGTGTAAAATCGGAATTTGTCTTTGTTTACATTTCAGACTAACGCAGTCTTTCAAGCACAGCGTTCGTTTTCACACCCAATATGTTTCGTCTCATTTTATCTAGACAGTTATCATTGGTGACACAGACCAGTTGCAATTTGATTCTAAAATGTATGGGGAATTCAGTGATGCATTTTTCGAAGCTGAATATGAAATATACGTGATGTAATAGGCGTCTCAATACCGGCCTTCGCGAAACGTGATTTTGTAAACACTATCCAATATGGCGGAAAGCGCTCTACGGTGTTCGTGTAAGTGCATTTTCGAAAACATCCCAACCGATTCTAGATTCATCGGCAACGTTTCAGAATTATAATTAGCGATTTCATGTAAAACTGATATCAGTGATCATAAATATGTTATTTTTGAAATTCAATACTCCCAGTAATTATCCGATTTTCACATTTCAAAACATACAGCAAATAACGCTGTGAATCGCGATTTCGTACTGTGTAAAAAATGGCGACATTTTCGATGAAGCCAATTTTGAAAGGTCATTTTCAGCACTTGAGCTTTGTCTAAAATACTAGTGGGTATTATCAAGAAACAGGAAATTTCCCGCAGAATTCGAAACTGTGAAGTGTATTTGTGTGCGTGGGATATTTTGATTTTTATTGGACTTGAAATTGAGGGTTGAAGGGGAAGGACATATATGTCCCTGTGGCATCCAGGGGGTTAGACGAACGTTACCAGAAAAAAGAAATGATAACAGTTTGATGACGGTTTACGTTCGGATTAAATATCTTCTCTGAATTATTTTAATTACATCTGTCATTAACGTAAACCATGTGGGGCAATATGAACGTCGCATTTCTACTACCAGCGTATGTTTAGATCAGTACATCCAGAAGAAGCTGAGTAGTCAAGCGACATTCCACGATTGCATTGTGGGAATGTAAACAGTGCGAACGTTACCGTGTCGCTGAAAACTTGTGAGTCGAACTGACACATTTTAACCATCGTAAAACATAAACGTAATGTTAGCTGCGTGAAGCAACTGCAAACCAAGAAACGGGATGCAACGGAGTAGTTTACTGTAGAAGGCCGTACGAGGCGATGACAACTGACATGCATCGTGACGTCGCTTACATTGTGACGTAATGTAAAATGGTTCGATTACGAGGGGGCACACTAGAATGGCGCAGTGACAGGATAACGTCATTCAATTGTTACGTCATCAAAAAAATATACCTTTATTGTCTGATAATGTTTTGTTTTTTTTCGATTGTTCTAACCGCTAGGCATCTTAGAATTGGGATTACACTATCTCAGTGAAGTTCAGATTCTCTTATTTTTGTAGGGGTGAGTTGTATCCGGGGTTCGAACCCACACCCTCAGAGTCAGGCACCTAATCGCCAGCACACAAAGTCATCCATCTAACCCGCTAGTCACCGTGGCTTCCACAAAACGGGAGTCGGACAACTGGCCTGACCCCGGACGGATAAGTGGCAATTAGAACGTCTGAGGGGTCAACTCAATTAAAGTATTAGAATCTATACTTTCTGAGAAAGTTTAATCCCAAATAAGCATCTGTTACATTGCTAAGAATTTTCTGAACAAACAAGCAAGGCGGTGGGTTAGCCTAATGGTTAGCGTTAGCTCGTCACTCCGAAGACTCGGGTTCGATTTCCCACCTGGGTTCAATGTGCGAAGTCTATTTCTGGTGTCCCCCCGTCATGATACTGTTGGAATATTGCTAAAAGCGGCGTAGAACCACGCTCGCTCACTCACTCACTCACTCACTCACTCACTCACTCACTCACTCACTCGATAAACAAAAAAATGTTCACAAAAGGGAGTGAGTTTGGATGATGACAAATATGTCAGTCATGTAACCTTGTGTCATGTAACGGGATCGTTACGACAAGCATGTGTATCAAATTATCATATCTATGTATGTCTAAACTTATTAACAAACTGAAGTTCATTTTCAGTGCAGTAAACATACGTTGATACTGCAAACATTAACAATACGGGGGAAAAAACTAACAATATTTCAGCAATTAGTAATTAAAACTTTAGTTGCGTGACTTATCGCCATCAGCATATAATCAACTTACCGCTAACAACATGGCCGCATATTAAATTACCACAATTATTTCGGACAACAAAGGAAGCTCGTGACCACACCCACACAGCAGTCTGTCGTCGTTGAAGTTGATAGCAAGCACACTCAACAAGGTCAAAACTGAACGACACCCACGTGAAATTCCGCTGTGGCTACCTGATGCGCTACCCCATGTGGAGCCTCATCTAAGCTTCCGAATACACCTGTGAACTTGCGCTTGGCTTTTTTCGCTGTTCGGACCACAGTGAAATCGCATTTTTTGTCTAAAATGGCGATGAACGGGAGTGTTCGAACAGGCAATTCTTTAACAGAGTTTCAGAGCCGAAAACAGGAGTATATATTTGACACACTTTACG